ATCTTTGTGCCTAAAATTTATTAAGCAGGCTGGATTGGAGGAAGTTTTTGTTAAATCAATGTTGCCAAGGATCCTCTTTAAGTCCTTCTCCCACTACCCTTTGTGTGTCCCTTTGACTGTAGCCCAATCTGGCTGTAACTAGGGCTGGCCAGAGTGTGACAGGTCCAGGAGACCGACCTCAGTGATCTTTCCCCTCTGTCAATTTGCAGGGACAATCATTGTAGTCAGGTCCAGACAGTCCCACGTGTCCCTAGACTTACAGCTGTCCTCCAAAATCTTTCTCCTCCTTCCTGATGTCTCAGGAAGATCTGTGCTTCCTGCCATGTCACTCTTCTTACTGTTTCTAACCAGATGACCTGCACTTGTTCCTGCTATTCCTAACCCACATCCTGGAGGCACAACACGGCAGGCATGAAATCCTTGTTTCCTGACTCACACCCTGCCCCAGGCCACATTATCTACATACAGATTGACCTGTCTCCAGTATCTGATTTCCTCTCCTATAGTGCATTGACACATCTCACCACACACTGTCACCCTAAGACATATTTTGTCTTTTCAGATCTCAATTTCAGCTTGTTTGGCTTTATCTCTCATTCTATATGGTCTTAACCTTTGGGTACAAACATACACAAACACACACACAACCCACCAGCTAAATTATGCTGTCCTGTCTAAATCTATGTACATCAAGCATGTTATCACCCATGACTCTGACATATAGCTATCAGACAACTGCCCAAACTTCAGGGATCCTGGATTTTTCCCAATATTGTAACAATACACTTTGTGCAAAGAATACAAGAAATAGCAGTGGGAAAAGCCACAGAGACTTGGGCACCTGTTTGCTGTGCAGTCTTTTGCAGATGGCACTCTGATTACAAAAAAAGGGTAATCACTAAATTCTGTGGGATGAATGAAGCAGGTTTTCTTAAATCAAATGCAGTCTGCCTCCACATTCATGACACACTATTTTCCTTATGTTCTTGGTCAAAACCTGCTATTGTCTATCTAACAAGTCCCGTTGAGCTTTCTCTAGAAGATTTAGTCTGATTTATATCACAGAGCATGGCATCAGACTTACCAAGTTTAGAAGATTCTAAAGTGAAAAGAATACTGATACAAAATGTTTGCAATCTGCTCCATCTTCAGACACCTCTTTCTAACTTTCCTTCCCTTTATCTTAGATTACAAACAGAACTAAATTGGGGGCAGGGGAAGTGTACATGTTTCTTTCAAATTATAACTCTATCAAATGTAAAGTACAAACATTTTCACATAGTCTAGTTCCTTCTTTAAGAAAGACACAACTTTTTTCACTTTCTGCATAAAAATGTCAACACCAAATGAACTATGACAATGACTGGCCCTTCAAATATGATTCCAATGGAAGTTCACAACTATGAGCAAACTTCTGTAACAATCAATTTGTAAGAAATAGAGCAGACTGAGAAGCAGGATTTCCTTTCTACAGGAAAAAAAAACTGGCTTCAATCCAAATCCCATTGAAAGACACACTTAAAATTTTTACTAACTAAAAACTCTGAGTTACATACAGAGATACTAAAACAGTGCAGCCTAAATGTCTTCAGTGTTCATATGTGAAAATTATGTTCTCTGGAGCAACAAAGATGCTGACAAGGATGTGAATGTCACTGAGCAGCTGTGGGAACTCCAGGCATCTGAGGTTCCCGGGAGCCCAGTCTCAGACTATCCCTGTGCTACCGGGAGCGGAGTGGCAGCCCCTCAGTCGGGAGCCTGAGAGCCATCTGAGAGCAGGGCTTGCAGGCATCCTGCTCCAGGCCAGAGACATGACAGCAGGCCCTGCTTGAGTTTTTGAAAACTCTCAGTCTCAGATCCACGTGACTGGGAATTCTGGCTTAGAAGGTCTGGTATGTTTGGAAGCCTTCTGTGGAACTAACAACACTGGCTGATCTGCCCACAAAACCATCCCAGCCCTGGGGACTCAGAGCATTTAAGGTCCTTAGCTACCAAGCAAAACCTTAGAAAGTATTCCCTGGAGCTGGACTGCTTGTGACTGCAAGGTTCATTGCTCAGGTCACCAAGTAACCCCTGAAGGACCGAACACAAAGAACCGACTAAGTGCTTGGTGCTAGGGAGACACAAACCCAGGAGGCCATCTCAGTATTAGGGACTTCCTGTTTGCAGGATCACTATTTCTTGGGCAGATATTACATAAAAGCCCTTACAAAAGAGAGAATTAATTTTTTGAGAAGTCTTCCTTTTGAATCATGAACACACTCCCCATGAAAGTAATGGGCTCCTCTTTAAACACACTGTGCAAGAGAGTGCTGAACTTTGTCTCCAAAAATTGCAAGCATTTTGAAAGTAGTGGAATGCTGTCTAGTCCAGAAAAGGTTCTCCAAACACAAATTCAACAACCATTGAGATCTTTTCAAGACTTCATGACATAGATCGGTTCTATTAAACAAATTTACTTCTGCTTTGGAAGCTTTTTAAGAACTGTCTTGAAAATCATGTGAAGTGCAGTAAAATATTTACTCTTTAGTTGACAACCTATTTGGAGTTGCAGTGCCTGTCTTTCCAAGAAGTCATTACATGTGACAGAGCCCTGCTTTCATGGAAAGGACTAAACGCCTGCTGGCTGCAGGTATTGAATTACTTCTTTATTTTGCTTTGTTTGCACACACAGCTTTTACTTTATGTATTAAACTCTCTTCAACTGAATCTTTCAATGAATTTTTGCACTGTTACTCTTCTGATTCTCTCCCCAGCTCATTCTAGGGGAGTGAGTGGCAGCAAGGTGCTACCTACCAAGGTTAAACAACAGCAGCTATTAAACCACAACAGGATCAATGCCTTTTCAATGCCTGTAAACAACTACTGAGACAATCATTCCCTTGACATTCTGTATCCTATGATAAATACTCCATCTCATTTGATGACAGAGTTATTGATGTGAATTAAAATTTCTCAGGTTTAGATGAGGTTAACTTATTGAGGTTAAATCCAGCCATACAGAGGATGCTGGACAGATAAAATAACCTTCTTATCAATCTGTACAGACAGAACAATTTCTCAAAAGATACACACCCATGAATGATGACCAGAGCTCTGAATTCAGAATACAGTTGGATTCCTTGCTAATGCAAATGACTTGGTCACATCACCAGGTAACACTCTATATAAATGTTTTAGAGAGGACTCTTACAATTTCTCAGATATAATACATTATCACAATATACATGAACAAGAAGATTCCACATCCAGAAAATTTCAATATCCTAAAGCTGCAGCACACGTCTTCCTCACCAGAGACTAGCACAGTAAATCATGCCTAGACCACTACAGTAAATCCAGTCTCTACTATCTACACAGGCTATCAGTGGAATTGCAAACTGAGTTAAAAATCTTGGCTTTTTTTTGATGTCTTACATCCTTTGGCTCAGAATCCAACAACACAGACCACGTAATACTGTCTCCATAGATACTCCCAAACTAGTGCAAAGTGTGCTGGTACATGGAGTACACAGAGCACACAAGTGCACTCACTAGCTCAGGCTCCATAAAAAGATGTAGCCATATCAGCAGCTTGGTGGGCCTGAGCTAACTATTGCTGCTGCTTCAATTTCAGAACTCAGCTCTGAAGCACACAGCTCAGTTCTTCTAATCTTGATTTCTGAGCTATAAAGGACTGTCCCCATTTATTTTTCTGAAGCACTCATCTCCCCAGAACAAATAAAAACCCAACAAAATAAGATGGGAAGCCCTACCAAAATTGGGCATTATACTGTACACATCTGTCGCTCACAGACAATGATGCTACATGAAGCTCAGTAATGTTGCTCAAGGTACTACTGAAATTCATTCATATGCAACAGGTCTGCCACCTGTACCTGTTATTCTTAGAATATTTTAGTGCTTCTCTCTACCCTTTGATTCACCTAGAATTAAAACAAGAAAGGGCCACTTCTTGGGATAAAAATAAGACAGCCATATATGAGCATAAACTATACCGTTATTTGTCTGTTAGAAATGAAGTCAGTATCTGCATTAGTTAAGGAACCACACTGGTTTTGCACTTCTTTTGTCATATTTGTGTAAAATTTGGGTTAGTCATAATATCCACATGCATCACTTCTACCATGGTATGACTGAGATACTACATCCTTTTGTTACGGTTTATCAGATGATGACAGATCTCTAAATGCTTGAGTAACTTATGAAATATTCTAGGCATGAATTAAAAATTAATCAATAATATAAGTCCTGTTCTGTACAAAATCATATTTTAAAGCACAGAATTTGTACTAAGAAGGCTTTCTTTAGCTTCCAAAACAGACTAAACTAAATCACATTAAGGATATTATTACATATAATATATTGTATTATATGTATGGGAGTGTGTACAGATATTATCAGCATGGAAGTTTGGTATACAACATCCATTTCCCAACAGGCATTTTCCATACAGACAGTATCCATGTTATTTGAAATTATCCGATACTACAAAGATGATGGACCCAGAAGAGCAAAAATAAATCAGTAATGAAGCACACACACTTCACAATACAGTGCTGTGCTGACAGCTACCTGTATAATGACAACAATAATAACCAAGTAGATTATACACTCCTTTCTGTAGTTCTGAACCAAGTCAGCCCATGAGCAGGAGCACTTGGTAAATGAGAAATACTACATATGGGAACACCCTAAAAACAATGGCTTATGCATTAAATTTGGATGCAGGCAGAAAAGATTCGAACAAGAAAAAAAACCTGAAAAAGTTTTGTAATACAAGTCTTTTCAGTTTTGCTGTGTTTTTACTTTATTAAACTAAGATGGCTATTCATTATGACACATAATGACTGCAAAGGAAAAACTATTTGAAAACACAAAACCTTTTTTATCTGTTAACTTCATGGATGAGTATATAAACTACAGAATACTATACAGTATTAATAATTTTGCAACTCATCCTATACTTTAAGTGGACAGAGATAAAAAAAAATCATTACCTTTAAGCATTGTTCTTCCAGTTGATCCTCCGAAGATATTTAAAAGACCACTTCTTGCTCCTAATGACGTAGTTGCTTCTAGTAAAGCACCAGTTATATAGTTAGAGAGTGCAGTCCTCTGTAAAGTGGCACGATAACGACAGTAAGCACCTGTTACACATGGTTTTACACAAAAACCATCTCCTTTGTATATACAGTCTGTAACAGATGTTGGGAGCTCCCTCAGAAGATAAGGAATGTATTCAAAAATATCTTCTGCTCCTTCCTCTTCTTCTCTCACTGTACTGAAGATCTGTGGAGAATGCAAAAGCATGGACTGTTAGTTCATTTGCTTAGCATAACATACTGAATATAAAACAATTCCAAATGACCACGACTTCTTGTGAAGTTCAACGACCTGCAATATCTACTTATCCAAAACTGGTTTGTTAGGATTTCGGGTCAGGCTCCCAAACAGGATATTTAAGTAAGAAGTCATTCTGGCTTTCAGATGTTCTGGCTTTAATCTGTGTTTAAAAGCATTCTAAAGATAACCATTAGACTAAAAAAACCCCACATCAATATACCTCATCGACACTTAAAATGCAGAATATGAACAAAATTTTTTATAATACTATTAGATCTGTTGTACTTCCAGAAAACCTTAGAGATACAGTAGGAGAAAAAAACAGATCAATTCAGGGTTGGCACTTTTTCTGGTTGAGTGGGAGGGGTTTTGCAAACAGAAATGGTTTTAATCACTCTGAACCCTCTTTCAAAATGTTCCGGTGTCACGTTTATTGCATTACTTCCAGCCTACGCACAGGTCCTCTATCTTATATTGGTTTAGTACTCTTTTCCAATATTTGTGATAGCACACTAATGAACTTCAGTCTGTGGCTTAGCAACTAAGTAATGTTTGCTTATTTAAAAGAATCTAATGATCAAAGCAAGAATCTGGAAGAAATCTCTTCATTTAGTATACAAGGGGAGACTTGATTCTTTGCATTCTTGCATGCTGACTTACTGATTAACATTAGTAATTTGTTTCAATGATCTGAGCTTCTTAATTACAAAGTGTAAACTAAAAATTAACACAGGGAAAGGTCAGTATAACTGTCACCAGGACAGGTGCTGACACAATTTTTATGAGATTGTTCCCCACCAGTCATAGATGTGCAGAAGAAACAAGCTGATGGCTTCATGACAGTTTTTTTCAATTAACGCCTTCTGTCTTGCTGCCATCCTTTCCCACATATAAACAAAACACAGCTATCCATCAACATGGCAGAAACTGCAGCCAGTCCTACAAAGCAAGCACACATGTGCTCAGTCAAATGATAAGAACCTGTTTGCACAGCCTGTGCACACCACATGTCAGAGGCAGCGGCACCCTGCCCACGGGACACACACGTGCCCAGCCACGGATCCAGGGCGGGAAGTGGCCCTGGCACAGGGATCTCACACCCATCCACTTCTGCCCTGAGCCTGGCATTCACCCTGCCAGGGCAGTGAGGAGGGATCCAACTCCCTGCTCCATGAGGGATCTGACCCTCCACTAACAGAAGAGGGAAACGATGTGGTTCCTTCATCCGTGTAAACAAATTGAAGAAAATCAATTTACAATCAATCAAAATACAATCTAATAAATTAAGTACATATGTGTTATCTTAACTTTAATTTTTGTAATAGCCACGTTTGGGGGAAAACTGTAAAATTTTATATTAAAATATAATAATTCATTAACCAGTAATGTAATTCAGTGATCTGAAAAAGAACACTGACATATTTATTAACCTAAAAAAAGAAATTTTCACATGTTGACTATGGTTGTATAAAACTCAATCCCTTTAAAAGATAGCTTCTGTGATGCACTACACCATGATGCGCTACACTACAGCCTGAAATGCTGTGGCATTTATATATTTTCCCCTCTCCCTGCAGATTTTCCAAAATTTGTTTGGTCTGAGGTTTCTAGAAATATTACACCTGCATCTTTATCTTCTTTTCTTTGCCATCTGACAGTTTCACAGACTTTTAGACTGTCAGTATAGACACATCATTGCCTTAATTCAGAAAGAAAATGTGCTCTTAAAGCGTGTCTTACCTGGAAGGGATGTGTGTAGACCTTTTATTTAGCTAACTGTCTGCAAGTACCTTTTCAAAAGGTGTACTGTGAAAGAGTAAACCTGTGGACTATGAGTGTGTTACACACAGCAGACATAATTAGTCTTTTTAGCTTGTTTAAAAAATATTTAGTTGATGAATATAATTTAACTTCTCAAAACTGCAGTTACCATCCAAAATATTTTTAAAATTGGGTTCTGCAACTTATAAAGGCATGTTCTGTTGCATACACAACTAAAATTTCTTTCAGCTGCCAAAGCAAAGAAACCATTTGTTGACAGAAATAGGCGACAGTGTTTTGCTGGAGAGATTATACATAGAATAATGGTGTTAATCTCTTCTGTGTAAAGTAGACTTTGGGGCACTAGCTGTCTCCAAAGACTTTGCACATCACATAACATTTTCAAATTCTGTTTGTTTTGATGAGTTAAAGTTCTGAGTATGTTACTTCTGCTGCACACAGATGAGGTTACGAAAAAATACAGACTTACAATGTGTATACTTGTCAGCCCCTGAAAAGAACTGAAACAATCAGAATAGCGACAAATCCCTCAGGTAGCTGATCAGAGAAACCACCTTTCAGAGAGATTGCACCAGACAACTGGGAACTTGATCTTGCCTGGGAGACAAAGAAATTTATTCCAAGCCAGGATTTACAGCTCATCCTGGCAGAATCCAGATCCTATTGATCCGTGCCACTACCAAAGAATGACTAATGTAATTAAAAATGAATGTGAACCAGAAAGAGTAAGATGCAGCACTAAACTGAAAGCTACCTATCAAGAAACAAAGCCTCACTTTTGCCTTACATATCAAATTAAAGATTTCAAAACCATCTGCAGTCTGGTGTTGCCATGTCTCACTTACTGCATATAAAGCAGTAACTCACAAGAAACTCAGGACAGTATCTGACTGAAAATGTTGCAATATTTAACATTCTGTAATGAGTACACAACACTTTTAAAATAAGAAATGAGACAAAACAGGAAACTCCATATACTATTCCTATAAAAGTATACTATGGTTTCAATAGACTTTTACTTTCTTCTCTTTTTTAAGGAGATTTTAATGATAAGTAAAAGGAAAATAAAAATTACTTGCAACACACAATATTTCTGATTTCTACAGGGGAAAATTGTCCTCCAACTCAAAAATGACAATTAGCATTAAAATGAAGATTAAATTCAGACAGAATTCCATCCTTGCAGCTTTACAACCAAGTCCATACTTGGAAAATGCATGGAAACAAAATAGATTATTCACCTCTTAATAATGTATGCAATAAATCATCAAAACTTTACTTTTAAAAGCCCCTCAGTTTTGCTTCTAGTAACTTAAAATGGTATCTGCAAGTTAACTTATTGATAACCTTCAGGCAATAAAACTTTCTAACAGTGATAACAGACATATTTTGCCAAGATATTAAAAATATCTTTAAAAATAACTATAAGAACAAGCAACTCATGCTAGCCTCGAAACTACTTCTTAGTTTTCCCTTGCAATCTTTTTTTTTTCTGTTTAATCATCATGGAATTGCAAGTTGCAGAATGTCCTTTTCTTCATAACATTACTATAGCTTTACTGTGTAGAAATGGCATAACCTAAACACTGCAGCCAATTACTGCCCAGTTTATGACACATATTCCCCTAAAATGAAGCTGGAGTTCATGGGTACTGCTGTACTGGAAATATCAGATATAGCAGTTCATAAAAAATAATTGTGATTTCTTACTTAAACTTACATGTATATCTCTTACTGTAGTCTTTTTTTTTGTTGCTCTTCTCTTATTTTTTCTGCCTCAGGTATTTAGTTTAGAACTTTGAGGCATATTGTCAAATATGTAGCTGCTGCTGTGCTTTTCAAACCCAGAAACTGGAATTATGAACTGACTAAAAATGTCCCATTTATTAGGCAGCAGAATACGTACAGAAGAATATATGTACCCAAGAATTTCATTGCAAAGAATAGTCATGAAAAATTATGCTTATTGCTACTACACTGTAAAAATATGAGACAATAGGATAATGAGGTTTTAACACTTCACTGCATCTGTCCAAACACGGAATGATCAAGATGAAATACTGAAATGTACGAGGTGTATGCATGTGTTCAGCTGGTACGACACATTTCAGTCTGATTTCCTGGCTGTTCACCTACAGAGCACTTCTATGATGGAGGGCTGATGACAGCAGCCTGCCTTCATTTGTTGCACACTTTTAAAGCATTTTTAAATGCCTGTAAGCCACAGTGGTATATTACCAAGCAGTAACTCTAAGGACAGTATGCGTTGAAGATCATTTGAATATCTCCTTTGAAAACACCAATGTTATACAGAACATACAAGCCTAAAACACAATTAACAGCACAGGAAATGCTGCTCTTTTCAAATTTCTTCTGTTTCAAGAAAAATTACATTAAAATGAGGAAATTCTGTGGGTGATTTTTCATTTTGGCCTTGCAGGTTTTTCTTACTAAAATTGGTCAAATGAAGCTAACAGTGATCTCTTGGAAGTCATGACCAAGGACGATTCCAATTGCTTTTACATGTATTTATTCTACCATTTAATTTGACTATCTATAGCATGGAATACAAGCACAGTCTGCTATGAAAAAAACCACCTTTGTCAGAAAGAAACTAATATGCAAGGTGAACTTGGGTGAATGAGGCATTAATGCACAATTAGTCAATATTTCAGTTTTACGTCTCCCAAAATGGTAAGCCAGGATAACCCTTTTGAGCATTTATTAGCAAAAAATGTAAAAATAGGTACTGCGGATAGTTAATTTTCTGAAGTACACTGGATTTTCTCAGCTTTATCTCATTCAGGTTATGACCATACCCCCACTGATTAGTCATTTCAAGATCATTGCTGAAGTACAAATCTTTAATTCAAGGTCTTTCTGAAATATGAGTGTCTTGTAACAATTTCCGATTAAGTCTCAATTATAAGAACTGAAATACATTAAACACTGAATGCATTTTTTGTTATCCCTAGAACAGTGTATATGTTTGTCTTTCTTCCTACTGTGTACATGACATTCTCAAGAGGACATGCCAGAGCCCATATCTCAAACAGTTGTGCAAGTTGTTCAAAGCCAAGGGATTTTACTGTGTTTGACAAAGAGGATGCTGTGAACAGCTGAAAGATCTGCTCTGTCAGGACTATTTCTCAATAGGTGAGGGC